AATGTTTAAACGTTGTTTCAATGTTGTTTTTAAATCTCAGTTGTTTATATAAAAGCTATATATATAAAGCTATTTATAATGGAGATAGAATAAAACACTCTTTTTGAAGCAATTATGATGATTTAAGTAATTTCAAACAAAATAAGAAATGTAAAATATAATGTTACATAATAAGAATGCAATTGAACATGTTACCTGTGGCAGCTGTTAGTTGTATTCCACTGCCCCTCGCATTCCCAAACACAGAGAAGAGAGTAAACACGTATTTAGTTCCAGCAGACAGAGATGAGACTGTGTGGTTCACTGGTCCATTTCCATCGGGTGCACTGATGTTTTTCTCTGTGCCATTAAACTGGAGAACAAAGCTGGTGCTGTTGAGCTTATCCCACTGCAGAGTTATGCTTGTCTCATCTTGTCCTAATACTCTAAAGAGTGTAGGTTCTATACATATACAAAAGGTATGGCAGAATGAAACATCATTTTTAATAAACAGAAAGTTAAAGATAAGTCAATTTGATTTGGGCACTACATTCGTTCATCACTGTTTAATACAACAATGATAGAACATCACACCATAATATATATATATACAAAACCAAAGGGTCAAAAAAACATCTTGTACTGAATTCTGCACAACATTATTGCAATAAAGTGTGTATATATATATATATATATATATATATATATGTATACTTATGTAAATTAAAATCAAATAAAAATTATTAAATGCTGCAGTATCTAATAAGCCAAGAAGATGTAGATTAACTCCCTCAAACTAATCCACAATGGTATTTTTTGTGGTGACAGTACCTGCGCAGTATGCCAACCGGCATGTCGATGGCTGCTGAAGTTTATAGACGTAGTATCCATTACACAGCTTGACCTGGATTGTGTGAGTTGCAAAATGGCAACAGGAACCCAACCAGGCGTTACACACAGTGCGATTGACGATTTCATTTAACTGAGTTGGTTGTGTCCCGTTTATCCACAAAGGAGCGTGTGTTCCACACCGGTTTTCTTCTATACATTCGTTTGGAATCTGAGCGCTGATTTGCCCCAAATAAAAGCGATACCAACCACTCCAGTGGTTGTTTCGATCACAGTGTATTGTATCATTTCTATTTTCTCTTGAACGCCAGGGATCATTCAATGTAATATAGTTGACACAGGGGTCAATACATTCAAAACTGCCATTGGTGGTGTTGCACTCGGTACCTGATGGACAACACTGACAGCCAGAACAAGATGGAGCTTCTTCTTCTTCAGTGGTAACGTGTGGAAAAAAAAGACAATGAGTTTAAAGACATTAAATACTTTTGTTTTAACAATTACAGTATGCACATTTTTCATGTCTACACTGCTCAAGGCAAGTGTTTCGGATGCCTGCATTTTCAAAAGTCACCACAAGACTACAGAAATAAGACTGAAGTCCATCATAAATGTCATTAAAGGTCTGAACTTCAAAGATTCCAAACAGGGGGGATGATAAATTGAAATAAGTGGGCATGCTGGCATTGATCTACAAAGATTGCTGAGCAGACGTTATGATAAACAAACTCATTTGGTTCTGCCCATTAAAATTAGCAGATGGCATCTTCTATTCGCAGCTTAAGAGCAGCTATAAAGAAAAGATGAGCTTGCAGAACATTTCTTTAGTAATGCTCTCTGAATAATGCAAAAAAAGAAAAGAAAAAACATATTTACCTATTAACAGAATTTACTTAAATTAAGTATAAAATAATGTTGATGATAATCATTCAATATAGAGAAGGTCTTGGGCTACTACAAGATCAGATGAAGTAGTAAAAAGACTTTGCCCCCTATATTTATCCAAAGTCATTACCGTATCACAGTGTTCCCTGTATTTATCTTGTCTATATGTAACAGAAAACTGAACGTCAGCATCAGGCGTTCCTCAAAAGTCTAAAGCTGCAGTTTTTGGCACACAGCCCAACCACAAATCTTCCAAATAAAGTAATAACAGTAGAAACATTGTCTTCCTACATTTAACAAAGAAAAAGTATTCAATTATGTATCTTTATATAATGGTTAGCATTTCTAATGTCCATCTCTAACAAGCTGTAAAGTATGAATAAGTATATTATGATAATTAAGTACTAATGAAGTAAATATTAATAACGATAATATTAAGTAACTTTTAAAATGCCCCTCATAGCCATGGTTATGTTTTATTAAATTAAGGGAGAAAAAAATTCCTGTTGCATTGAAATGTTTTTATCCTCCCTAACTGCTCCCATGATTTTTTTGCTTTTCTTTCCATATTCTATTCTTGTATAAAGATGCCAATTTATTTTAGGTCAATTCAGGTTTAATTGCTTTGTTTTTGTTGTTGATTATTTGCTGTCCTGTGCAGAATCTCCATCATCTGGCATTATACCACTGCCTTCTTTGTGGCAACATCAAACGGATATATATTATTTATTTTTATTTTGCATCTCACTTTCAGAAGTATAAGAACCCCAAAATTGTGGCCGCTGTTGAGTTTTTTTCTATTTGAAAAATTGTTTTGCATGCGTTAAGTGTCTTTATTTGCATATCATTCCCCATAAATGTTCTTGGTTTTATCATATGATCTGCATTAATGAAGGCAGACCAAGAAAAATGGTTTGCACACTGAATTGCAAACACAGATCACTTCCACCTATAATTAATGCATGTTTAGAAATAAAACAAAACTAAACATTAACAGCCACCAGAGAACAGGTCCCAGCCTGAAGACTGCATCCCTAATTTGTATCATACAGATCTTTTCATCCTCAATGTTCTTTACAGCTTTTGTATGAAGCACATGCGGGTCTTGTCAAATGATTATAGTCCTACCTTGTTACCCAATATTTTGAGCCAAGTAAGTGTTGTAAGGAGTTGATGGAGGAGAAACCAACTGTTCAGAACTTTATCTTGGTGTGAGCTTGATTGTGACTCTGTCTATCTATCTCTGTCACAGAGGGTTTAGGGAGAGGAGCTGAACTTTTAAATATTTTAAATGTGACTCTTGTTAGTTGATTTTTTTTTTCTTTTACTTTTTTAGCACTTTAGAATACATATTCATATTAAGTGCACTAGAAATAACAGTGACCAATATTATCACTCTTATTATTTCTTAAATAATTATGATTCACATAACCACCACCTTCATGGCTTAGAACTTCATCTTCATTTTAGAGGCAGTCTCAAATAGACAGTTTCACACACATTATCTGCTCTTTTAAATGTTGCAAAGCAGCCCTGTCTGAACGTCTTCTCCTTTGCACACGCAATCTTTATGGATCACCTCCAACATGCCCACATAGCACATACTGTCAGGTTTATGATTATAAAATTAATGCATGTGCATATAACTTTGTTTACTGCAAACTGTCATGCAACTTTGGTAGAAAACTGCTGATGTTTGTGCAAGGATAATCTGAGTCATCGGGAGACCGCTCTATTCTGTGATTCAATCAAGAGGAGCCTTTTGTCCTATGACCTGATCAATTGCCTTGTCAGAAGAACACTGTTCTGTAACCCACCCCATGTGTTATGATCTGCTAATAAAAGGCTTCTGCTGAGGAGACCCATCAGAGAGTAGATGTGGCTGAATGTGGCTCTCTCCTCCTGCAGGAGCCAAAAAACCCTATTCTGTGTGGACTCAATTTCTTTTTACTAAAACCTGCAATTTTGAACGTAACACTTTGGTGCCAAAACCCGGAAGTCAAGATCCAATTGTCCAGGACCGTGTGGGACCAAGGCCAAGAATCTGTCGACAGTTGTCCTCCCTTTGCCAGCCCTGCCCTGGGCATCCTGGTGACGACTCCCTCTGAGGACTGCTCTGCACAGCAAAGGGTAGGCCTAAATCTTTTGATCAAAAGTTGGTCTGGGACCATGTGAAAGCTATAACTAGTTGTAGTCGCAAGAATGTTGATGAGTATAGTAAAATAAACAATAAACATTTAATCCAACTGCAGGATTAAATAACTACTTTAAAAATTTTTGCAGAGCATGTCTCACATGCTGCGAAGAACATGTAATCTGCCCAGAGCTTCTTTTGTTTCCCCACAGGAAGGCCTGAAGCCTGGAGACCGAGTGCTAATTAAAATCATCAGGGGAAAATTGGGCAGCTCCTCTGTGGGAAGGACCCTACATTGTTCAACTAGCAACTCCAACAGCTGTGAAGATCCAGGAGAGAAACACTTGGATCCATCAGAGTAATTGTAAGCTGATTAAAGATTTTCCCTAACAGGAAGTCCAGTCACTGTCACAGGGACCCCACGACTAAGGTAGGGATTTGTGGTGAAGCCCAGCTACAAAGGGGTTAAGCAATTTAGAGCTTTTCGTCTCAATGCTGGTGAAGAAACCAACCTAACCCAATCCTGTAGAGTCCTGGTTAGTGGGTGCTGCCTTAGAGAGATTGGTGAGGATGGGAAAACTAAAGTGGCTCTGCTGCTTGATGGTGACCATTGGACTGGTGCTCTTATGGACTCAAATTGACTGCCAGAAGCAAAGGAAAACCAGAATGGTTTTTTGATGGATCCACACCAAGTCATCCCTACAGTGCCAAGATGTGGTGGCAGCATTCCAAGTGCGTTGCTGAAGGTTTGAACAAAACAGACTGTTCACACCTCCGGTGCAAATCCAGCACCATGGACAAGTTGGTTCACCATGGGATCATGGTGGCAGGTGCTGATGAAAATAGCTTTACCATTTGTAGGATTGTTTTTCATATTTTTTCTTTTTATTTGTTGCTTAATGCCATGTCTCCAGTCAATGATTCAGAGAATGATAGGATCCACTTTAATCCAGTGTTCCGCTGTTACTTATTTTCAACTCCGCCAAGATGCTGATAAAGATACTGATGATTTGCAACTGTGTAATATGTTACAGGGATAATGATCGCCTCCTAGGGAGGGGTTGGGTAGGAATTTTTTCTCTATTTGAGAGTTTTTGCGCCTACTCAAGGGACAGATTTTTGAAGCTTGATAAATCTTACATTTTTGCTTAAGTTTTACATTTTAATCCTTTTCATATTTTTGTGTTTTACATATTGATTTTTGATTACTGAATTCCCTATCTGTAATGCATTTATGATGTGTGTACTAAAAATCTTTTTAGAAGTGCTACATGCTGATGTTCTCTATGCACAAGAGGAGGGAAATGTCAGGTTTATGATTATAAAATTAATGCATGTGCATATAGAACATTAAAATGAGATGCTTAACTTTGTTTACTGCAAACTGTCATGCAACTTTGGTAGAAAACTGCTGTTTGTGCAAGGATAATCACAGTCATTGGGAGACCGCTCTGTTCTGTGATTCAATCAAGAGGAGCATTTTGTCCTATGGCCTGATCAATTGCCTTGTCAGAAGAACACTGTTCTGTAACCCACCCCATGTGCTATGATCTTCTAATAAAAGGCTTCTGCTGAGGAGACTCATCAGAGAGCAGATGTGGCTGAACATGGCTCTCTCCTCCTGCAGGAGCCAAAAAACCCTATTCTGTGTGGACTCAGTTTCTTTTTACTAAAACCTGCAATTTTGAGCGTAACACATACAATTTTATTTTATTTTTTATTGCCCAAACAGTTTACCACTCCTAATTGACTCATTGAAGAGCAGGTCTATAATATAGTGTGTTTAGAGACAGCGGGTAGTCAGCAATGCTGTTACCCAAGAAGGGCTAAGAGTTTACCTACAGGAAATTAATACAGCATTATCTTGTGTATCATAATGGAACATTTAGAACATGGAACATAATGGAATATTTAGA